TATCAGGGACTGCATAGCGTTTAGTTGGCTGCTGTTATCTCTGATAGCACTATCATTCTTACCTCACCTATCATTAATATTTTTACATTGTGGTTGTTGTCGATTAATTTATTTAGAGTACGAATTAGGATTCGCGAATGGATAATGCCTGTCAATTTAGAGTTATAGTTTCCACCTTTTCACTCACATTCTACTCGTACAATTGCAGCTAACTTACAATATATAAATCCGTTAATCATCAACTTGAGCTCGTTCTATACAGCCTGTATTTTTTTCTCCAGCTACTACAGCTTCATCCAATCTCGAAGAAAACTCCTGCTTCTGTGATAGGGCATTAACATCACACCGGGCTATCACCACTATTTTACAGTAAGCCTCCGCGAGTTCGCAAGATCGGGGCGTTAGTTAATGCCCCAGTTATCTTTTCATCAAATATGATATGGCTAATTAACCGGCCTGCGCTTGGTCAGCACGAGATTCGATCTTTGCCTTTACATATTATCGGCTGTGTCGTACAAATAGAAGAGAGCCCAAAAGAAAAACATCCACACTGATGTCGTTGCGTAATGATTCGTATACTGATATCGTCGAACCAGAACCCCTCATATGTTTAGGGGATCGTTTCTATTTTCGATTCCATATAGACTGCCGCCAGCGACCTAGTACTGTTTCTGTAATCACTAAAAAAGTTCGATAGAGCCCTCAGCAAAGAAAACGTTGCATTTTGCCTAACAGTGAATTATTTCTGCGAATTCTCTAGTCGCAAGCTCTACCGTAGCCCTTTCTTTGCAGTAAAGACTACCGCCAAAGGATGCACTTGAGTTTCACCAAGCAAAAAATATATTTTTCAAGCTATATTTTAATTAATTTTAAACAAAAGCACACTTTACTGGGTGCTACTGCATACTGGCACAGTGCTAGACAAATACTTTCGCAACGAAGCCTAATAGGCACTATGCGCTAGTCGTTAAGTTCTTCGAGAAAAATAGAAGATCCTGACAGAATGGGGCATCGTCTCGTAACAAACAAAGCTTTTACTTTAAAGGTCCTGCATGTTTAATAAATCGTTCCATATAGTAGCGTCGAATATTCCATAAGAAGAATTCGCCTATGGCCGTACACGAGGAGACCCAAAAAGTCCTAGGTCTTTCGGGATGGGATTAAAGAAGCCTCTAAGTAGTTCACACTTAGCCGGGCCGAGGAATCAACCGTTTAAATACTGGAAAGCTTACATCTACCCGATATTAGCATATACCACGTGGTGTGGCCTTCAGAAGCACTACCGTCTAGGCTTTAAAGATCTAGAAGCTACGTGAAGGGATCTCGAGACAAAAGAATGCAGGACAATGGAATTATTTGTCTGCTTAAAAGCAAATGCAAACTTCTACCACACGTCCGCCATGCTAGATTCAATCATCTCGATACAGTTTCATCTAACGATATTTGCAAGTTACGGTAACGTGTGATATTAAACCCGTTCTAACAGCGTTCCAGTTTATAAGATTCATAAAGACATTGCGCTTCTAAAAATTAAGATAGAACGCATAGATCGCTATCTAGAAGTCACTCAACACAAAAAACCGTTTAAGCACCTTTACTGCTACTGTTTATTCAGCTGAACTAGCGGGCAATATGTATATCTATATGAACGACTAGAAGCGTCCAAAAGGCTCCGAAGTCATTTCTCGGATATTGCTCACAGCTGCAAGGAAGTGAGCTGAACCATAACGCTTTAAGGGATGGTGTATATATATATATGTACTTAATTGGAGATTATTTGATCGTTTCTATTCGGTGTCATGCATAGCAATCATAGCTCCTGTCACAGTCAAGTCGAGCAAAAACCTTGCGTTTGGAAATAACACTTAAATGACCGAGCAAGCACATTCATCGATTTCGAAATAGAAACATAATTGGATTGATAGAACTTATTTCTACAGCTGACTGTATCATTAAGTCATAACTAGATATATCTTTAGTTATCACCTATCAAGATAGCTTTCGCAAATATGGACTAATTTCAAATAAACTTACTTAAAAAGGCTGTTTACTTTAAGTATTCAGAATTAGCTCATGTTTTCAATACAGCATCCTTGATTTAATGCAATCATCTCAAAGTAACTGAAATATATTATAAATCAATAGTTAATGATACGACGTATTAACTTATAGCCTTATTTGAGACAGATCCTTCCCTCCAATTCTGCACTCAGTAAACTAAAGGAGAATGCAAAGCAAAGCTGAAGTGTGTTCATATAAATAGATCTTGTTATATGAGATTGCTACGTTCGAAAGCTACGATCAAATCCCATTAAACTAAATGTTGCTGATTGTCGAAAAATACACTATTTCCTTTAAATTATTACGCGCGTACCGCTCGTACGGTATTATACAGAAGCATTTCGTCACGACAACAACTTTAAGTCGGCCCTTCGTATGTACAGGGCAAGTTTCATCATACACGTTTGGCCTGAGTGGGAAGAGAAGGTGACTCACTCTGCCTGATACAAGCTCCAAATACCCTTTGCCCTGTAAAATCTTCTCTTATGGGCAATGCTGTACAGCTCGACCCATCCCGGATGTGGGATACTCATGACCTACTCTCATCAAACGGCTATACTGCTTGGAAGAATGTTGATGAAGGCTTATAGTTGTCATAAATAACGTTGGCTTACACATAGTAGAAAAAGTGTCTCTCTTAATTTACTTACCTTTTCTACGTTCAGGCTGTTGGTAACTCAGAAGGCAGAGCAGTATCGTCGTTGAGAATTATTATTAGAACGATTTCCACTACCAGCCTTGGAAAATGAATCAATGAATTAGGTTCTCTCTATTTCGTGGTTATATCGTTTAACGATATTTAGCGTGATTGAACAAATGTTTGCTTTTAAATCTTTATTTTTTTTAAAATCCTTGTTTTTTTTTTTTTTTAGAGAAATATTGGAGGAAAGATACGATATGGCAAAAATTGCAGTGCATAATTGGAGATCCCGCGAAATGCCCCTTTGAATGTTTTACCGTTATACGCGCCAAACATTTGTGATTCTGACGTTTGTTACATATGGTGCAACGTCCTTATCTGTTGGTATATATATATATATATAAAGTTGGTAAATTTTACGAGAGATTTTATGAAATAGTGCTGCAACAATATATAATGGTACAGATGCTTACAAAGACTAGAGTACTTTACCTGTCCAAAAAGAAATATGAGGTACGTTGACAGCTATTTGCAACGCGTTCCACAAGTCTGAAGTTCAAAAATAGTCCTTAAAAATTGGAGATGTAAAACTACGTTCTTAAAAGCGGTTACGGGGACGGTTTCGTCAGGCATCTTCTTTCTATTGCTCGTCCGTTCTCCTTTGTTTTTCATTTTTTCAAGGCATTTCCAGGTTCGAGCTAGTGACCCAGAGGCCGGTAAAGGAAAACTTTAGAGTAATTGCTATAACGTAAAATAGGATTTCCGCCGAAACATGGATGGCAATCACTGTCTAAAGCACATAGAAATTGGATTTATTGCTCGAACTAACCTTTGTGATGAATTCGTTTGCACTATTGTTATTGTGATAAAAGGATATGCTAATAAAGAAAAATAAAAGCAAAGTTTATTTCGGTTAATCGAGTTTAAAAGATGAAAGATTCTGCACATCTTAGGATTATTTGTATGTAGAATTCGGTATTTCATTTTTATATTATTGCTCGTATCGTTATTAAAGCGTGAATGTCACGAGACAATTTTGATATATTTGGCCTGAATTTAGGTACCCACCTGAGATCGTACTTCTAGGAGCCGGGCTAGGGCCGTGTATTTATTGACGTAACCTGTGTGTCTCCTGAGTCTGCTCTATCGGTCAGAGAATGATCGAGCACATTTCGTCCATGGACGAAATGTGCTCGATCATTTTCTTGGAAGAATTGGAAGTGAGGGGTTATGCAAAATACTGCTAGTGTACTTCCTTACTGACAGAAATAGAAAGATGTGGTATTGGCTCTAGGCTGAATTTTTACCAATCACATGTTTCCCGGAGAATTCTCCCTGAATGGCTTTGTTGCCTACCAACTAGTTTGGTGTAGCCGAACGTAAGAACTCTAATTTATTATCTCATTAGAGAGATAGAAGCATGACTTGGCAGGCAGGAGGCGTCGTTTGAGTCAAGTGAGGAACAAACGATCTAAGGGTGTACAATAACTATGATACCATGGAATGATATCATGAAGAAAATAGATATTCGATTGGGTATATAAATGGCACAAGCAAGATGTGATATAATTGGTCCAACTTGATTCAAAGTTATCTTCCGTCCGACAAAGATGGTAAATTTTGATACGCTTTTGGTAAATCACAACGTGAGTTGCGATTATTTGTGTAAGTTGCATTGCTTGAATTTATGCGCAACGAACTTTACGGATAATTTTCTCTGCAAGCATCCTATTTAGCCTTTAATTTTAGCCTGCCTTTGAGAGCGTAAGACATAAACTTCATCCAAAAGTGTAAGAAGTATATTATTAGCAAGACACTAGAAGAGGTTGACATTCGCCGTCTGCCGGAGTACATGATAAGACATTTCTTTCACTGCTTGAAGCGTCATATGGTTTCAAGTCATTAGTATAAGGCTGACGGTGAGTTTCAGCGGGAATAAATTAGTTTGGTCTAAAATAGAAACATCAACAACGCAAGGGGCCCACCAAGTACTCTTAATGCACACCCAATTAAATGCTTTCTTAAGTTGAAACTATTATCAATTTCGAAAAGAAACTATGATTTTATGAAATCGTCCGGAATCAGCCTGTGGAACGCCGACCCACTTATAGCTTAGTAAACACTTTAATTAATAGATTATGATTAAATCGGTCGAACGCTTTGGAAAAGTTGAAATTAAACTTTTTGTGACGATTTTGAAATAGTGTTCAGTTCTGAATCAACTTCTCAGCAAATAACTATAGTGTAGTAGCTATGGACGGAGAACTTATGGCTTTATTTATATATCGACATGCCTGATGAAATTTCATTGTGATCAGGAACAAAGCTATCCTCATAAGATCGGGTCACCGTTATCCAGAGGGGCTCTGCGATGGGCTTTTATAGAAGACGGATATTCCGTAGGAGGTGAAGCTATTTCACATTTTGTCGCGTGTTCTTCACGCTAGCGGATGATACAATCGGGGGAACAATTACAGATCGACACTCGAAGTAATGAAAATGTTCTTTGCCTTTAAGGCGTCGCGGAAAGCAAACGCGAAATCCTCAGCAGTCTCAGCCACATCATCAGACATTAGAGAATTGTCATCTAATTCAAGGAATATTACTATCTTCCCGCTCTTTACTCTTCTAGAGCAAAGCGACGACTTCTCGGGAAATTCAAGTTGCTTTGGATAATTTAGGCTAAAAGTGAGGTCTTGCAGTCAACATTTTTTTTAATATAATACTATGGCGGTACAGTCCCGTAGGTCAGGTCCCGTTTCCGCCGACAGACGCAAAGACCAATCCAATTGACAAGAGATAGATCAGCCTCTATTAATGCGTCATCACATTTACAGAAATGCGTGTCTTTTCCATTAAACGCTACCACATGGCCAGAGATCTTTCAGCTACGGTATGAATATAATACAAAGGTCACCACTTACTTTGAGATTATTCACGCCGGCGTCTGAAACAAATCACTAGATTAAACGAAATCTTGCAATTAGGATGTAACATGGAATTCAAGAAAGTTCTTCTCCTGTCATTTGCCTACTCCTCGCCACATAGCCATTGCGACCCAAAACACGTATGTATCGTAACGCTATAGAAATAGTTGCCGTAGGCGACTATTTCGGAAAATAAGTAAGCATGGTAGATCACCTTATGGGTGCCATATGGACCATAAGACGGTGATACTTCGTTGTCTTCCGATCGACCTGCTCATGATATAAATAATGATCTTACTTAAATAGCCGCAATTTGCATTTGTCCTCCGGAGCCGGAGACTCAATAATCTTGAGTCTACCCTGAGTCAACAATATTTTCCTACTAGGCATTCGATTGCTGTATAAACCGATTCCAATATGCTATCATATATAACATAGCTAGTTATTTACGTTAGTTCATCGAATTTGCTATGCACGCGAGTGCACGTGAAAGTACGCTAGATGGAATTATGAAATTTTCCAGGCCATATATAAAGATGGATTTTGAAGGTTCGAAGTTGACATGCTCGCAGGGACGCCGTGTCCTACATATCGACCTGTTCACTGATTCTTGATTTCTTAAAGTAGCATGCTGTTCGTCGTTTCTACGTGCACTTACACATACACATATGTGTCAGCGACGCTATTACTACAGCTGCCTGCTATCACTACCATAACGGCCACCACAATCTTACTAGGTTAAAAAATTCAGGTAGGGATCACGATAAGGGGGTTCTCGATGTAAAGGCCGCCGACTCTACTTTTCATAGGCTCCTTGAGGCTTTGATCTTTTGCTTTAGGCAAGTACAGCATCACGAGAAGGGTCCACAACGCGTGATCGGGTAAGAAGTCCGCCCGCGATCTATTTTCCTTCCTTGTCTATATGTTCAGTGCTAGTCCTGTCTCAGAGTGACAGAGGTGTGAACGATATGGGAGTGAAGAGACTCTGAAAAAGGAGGACAATCGAAAATTGAATTTGATTCATCCTATCGTGCAGGCTAAAAGCATATCACGAAGCGCCCTTGGCACATCCAGATGTACATTGAGAACGGCGTACTTTAACTGACTGTCAGGTCGTAACGACCATATTGATCACTGGCATCAAGCTTTTGCCTGTTAGGAAACTAGTAACTATTAGTTAGGCACGAAATAGATTGTCGTTTAAATTGTATTAGAAAATCCGAGTTATATGGAATTTTCGAGTAAATGACAAACGTAAGAGAGTTGGTTTTCCGTAACCGGTCTGCGTGCCGGGATATATCAAAGTGCTGCTAGTAGATGTAAGGGGGTACTACGGCGGAAGCGATGCGACGTCACTCAAACTTACATTAACTAATACCTTTAAAAAGAAATTGAATAATTAGGCTGTTTGCTATAGGCAATAGACTTCATAGGCAAAAGCTAAATAAAGTCAATAATATCCACAACAGTCAAATTACTTTTACTTGCAAGAATAATGCATAATAACTATACCAATGTGCTAGTAAAGCTAAAAATACGAAAAAAAAAAATCCCTGGTACATTCCTTTAGTCAAAAAAAGGCCTAACTATTACTTCTCGAATAATGCTGGGTTCGTAATTGTGAGCGTATGTATCGTACAAGCTGTGGAGACAAACTCCAGCTGCGAAATGTCAGAAACGCTAAACTGGGTCTGACAAGATTTTGGTCATCTAGCAGTGAGAATAAAAGCAATTCCTTATTTAATAAAAAAGAATAGCCAATCAACTACTTATCTATAGCTACTAAATGTGGGAATTAAGACGCTTTCATCTTTGAATCTTCATAGGCAGAACAGAGACCGATAAAACTTCTGTCCCCCTTCCCCCCCCCCCACATGTTGAAGGATGGAAATAAAATGAATAATTTTTGGAATAGAAAAATTATCTCACTTCAAAGAGTTCAACAGTTAGGTTGCAGCTTTTTGTAACAAAAAAAAAAACATCTTTTGCTTGCACTGGTTTTTCTGGTGCAAAAAGCTTCGGGAGCCTGTGGCAAAAATCGTTCGCGGTCTGGGTTTGCGCGATTGCTGTGAAAGTAACTTCCCAACAGTTACAAGACGCTGAGAACATGGCAAGACGATGCATGGTTACCATGCGTTCACCGTTTAGCCGCCCGTCGTTTTCCGAACCAACGAATACAGTTCCGCTAGAAACCCCGAACACTTGAATGGATGCTGTTTAAAATAACTATATTGTCTGTATTAATATACGTACTGGTACAGGATCTAGCAACAAACTCTGGAGCGTTTGAGATACTATGAGTAGGTGGCGCCTTCCATAGACGAGCACTGCATCCTGCAGATTGAAACACATGATTATCACTTTAGACGCACAGTAAATACGATATCTAACAAAAAGATAAATTGAGCGAAGAGCCGATAAAGATATTCAGCGGAGCTACCATGCTAAAAAGCAATTTTGTCGGGAACATTAATGTTTTATCGATATCTAATAGATCTTTCTCGTTATGGGTGTGCCCTCACTTAACTTCGTACATGTTGGAATACAATGAATGGCTAGTCAATTTTTTTTTTATCAGAAAGCGTCTAGGGGCTGTAACGATACCAAGGTTGTTCTTCTAAGGGTTAAGCGATTAAAAATATTTTACCCTATAACTATAGTCAACAGTGCGTAAGCAATAAGCAAGATGCTGCCGGCTGTGCCCATGAATCCCAACTAGCCATAGTAATATTAATAAGCTTGACAAGAAGGAAAAATAAAAATGGAAGTGCAATGCGTGCATGCGTGCTTACTTACAAAAAATAAGAAGCGTTTCAGAGTGATACGATGACGAGGATGTTTATCGAACTACCTATTTGTTGTTTGTGCTTTAACTGCGCATATGAGTGGCCCCCTCGAGGGATTAGCTGTAGGGCGAGAGAACATTGTCAGGTTTGTCATCACCAAATAACTAAAATGCATACGTACACTACAGGATAGTTTATCACACGAGTATGGACAAGGGTCCATAGAAAACATATTCTGCCCACTTCACGTTCTACCTCAGTCGTATTTCAAACATTTCAGTAGCAAAAAAGCTTTGAGAAGTGCCTTCAGAGTATCTTGCTTCCTTTGTCTTTCTAATATGGTCCTCCTTCACTTTAGCACAGCGTCGACTGATGTCGCTTTGTTGTGTACGTGCAGCCAGTATTGGCCTGCGATTACCGCGCTCAGTTGTGTGTGTGCCCGCAATAAATATATATATATATATTTGCGTACAGAGAGAGAGAGATAGAGAGAGAGAGAGCGAGAGAGAGAGAAATGACGTTCACAGATTCAGACATGTGTAAATGGTTCGCCACAGACATTGCTGTCTGCTAATAAAGCACATCGACTGCTCAGCGAATAAACAGACAAACGGGTCTGTCATAACAATGTGACAAAACTTTCCAAACGGTATCGTATGTCTACTAGCATAACCTACTCTGTAGCTTCATCAGTTCGCTAGGTCAGTGTTTTCTCCCCCCTGGGCATTTCTATCAGAGCTCCCATATCCCCCTGCTGAGTAGACAGTTGCCTCATCTAGTGAGGGATACAATACAACAAGTGAACGTTTTTTGCGGAAAGAAAACATATATAGAACTTTATTGTTGTGTGAAGCGGTTGCAGCAGACATATCGATATGAACATCCATCCGTTAGCATTCGCCATCTTCTTGGTAAATAGTTACGTCGTTTAACACATATCGCCGGTTATCAAGCCGGTTATTGAGCCCACGAAGTAGCTATGTGTTGTTGCCCAAAGGTAAAAACGTTGAATGATATTGTGCTTAGAACACTGGATGGGCTACGATCGCGTTTGACACCTATAATGAGAAAATACCCACTGGACCTTAGAAGCTTTAGAAGGTTTGGCCTACACGAAGACTCTGTCAGGCTTCCTTGCCGGCTGATCCTACTCATTTCGCGATCGGTGAACGATTTTAAGCTAATTCATATTTTAGACCCCTGGGAAAATTTGAATTTTTCAATCCTGTAAAATGAATGGCTGTATGTATAAAAAGTGAGTTTTTGGTCACATATTGCTAATAGTTTATGACAGCTGAGCTAGATTAGGGTACGTGCGAGTAGATGCGATTCTTTCAGTTGGCGAGGCATCGAAAATATCATAGACTGAGCGTCGTATAACATCCAGCGCTGTGCATTCAAAGAGCATAGAATTAATTTCAACAGCTGTAATTTCTCCGACCCGACATACGTCACTTTGTTTTCCTTTTGTTTTCGGACATTTCTGTCTATAGCTGCGAGTCAGAATCCGATATCGAGATGACGCTAAAAGTATCTGCTGCTGTCCTTCAGTGCAGAAACTATGTGCTTTAGCTGTTTTTTTAAGAGAGTAACGTAAAGAAGAGCTGAATTATGGGAAAAAGAGATCAATTTTTGCGATTGATTTTCCGGTCGCATTCTCTCACACGCTGCATGATCTGACGCGCAGGCGCTCATCTTCGCCTATGACACCTTGGTACAAAGTCGCAGATCTTTTGACACGGGACTTCCTTTCATATTTACGATTTCCGTTTCGCTCTCCCGTGGCGTTACGGGCCAATTCAGTCCGTAAAACACATGTTCATAAGAAATCATATGTATAAGGTTGCAAATTCATTGAAATGCACGCGATCAGTTTATATACGATCATGAAAATTAGATTGCTGAGGGAATGATAATAAACATTCCTATAAAGTCCCTAAAAAAACATTCCTATAAATGGTACGCTGTAGGGAATACTGTAGGCGACAGACGAAGTGGCAGGAAAGAGCCAGGACGCTGCCGGATGTTTTATGAGTCACTGCAGGTATCCTCGGAATTGTCAAATTAATAGCAATGATTGGAGATCAACGCACACATCTAACTACATCCTGGAGACCATCACGCTTATTGATAACATGACAAAGCCACATTTCGTAGAATTAAAAATAGAACGTAACTCAATTTTGAGCAAACATTACAGTTTAGTGACCCAAATATTATTCTAATTTGTGACGTGACAACAGTCAAAGAAAATGATGTAACGTATGTATCCTAACGTGAAATACTATATGAGATGGCTCCTCGCACGCTAGATCTGCACTTCAATGAGCTGTTGTTGAGCAGTGAGGTGATTTCTGCCCCTCACATCATTGTGGAAACAGGTTCACAACACAGCATGCGCGACTGTCAAATATGAGGTCAACGTGTCCACCTAAATTACAAGCTGTCTGTCGTTTATTTCTACGGTGGATGCTTATATCGGCCTAGTGCTTCGATAACGAAACAGTAAACGGTACCCGCTCTGTGCTAAGTACCGCTAACTAGCATTTGACGTTGGCTGAGAAGCCGACTCGAGATTGCCCTCCTAGTGCAACCCTTCAATTATGGTATCATTTTTCAAGTTTTGACTAATATAAATTAGGTAGACGATGGTACTAGGTCCGGTATTCAAAAGCTGTGGGGCGATAAAAGCACGCGAGCCATTCCATGAGGATAGGAGAAGGCAAAAGCGTGCTTGGTTGCTGTTACTGTGGTTGCATACTTGATCGGAGAATTTTGTTCCATCGTCACTCTTTGGGTAGAGTAGCTCAGTTTCTTCACGTTGAGACGAGCCATTATCAATAAGAGTTAGGTTGTTTAGTTTCCTCGTTTAGGGCTATTAGTACAGCTGTTTAGGCTGCAGTAGGAACGGAAACATACTGGACAAGCTGAAGACGAAACACTCAAAATCAAATAAACAGATCTTAGAAACATGAAAAATATGTCGACATTTTTCCGAGAAAGAGACAGCGAATGAGCACACACACAAAAGGGAAAAAGTGATGTTATTTAGAAGAATAAACTGCACGCGACGTTAAAACCTACATTAGTAGAACAAATCAATATGAAGCTTGATTATCGTTATCAGTGCTAGCAGCTTGCGCAAGAGAGGGAACTTGTCATAGAGTTCGTCAGTTTCACTGGTGCCATCCTGTATTTCAGCCAGTCGATGAAAAGTTACGGATTCACTAGACAAGATGTTTTTTAGGTTAGTGCCTTTGAATAACAGGAGCAGAATCGTTGAACGAGGCAGTTTGTGGGAGGAGGAACTGAAGCCAGGATTTGAAGGCAGGACGAAAATGGGCGTCCAAAGCTGTGAGCGAGAACTGTCCTAGTTAGCAGTACATAAAGTATAAAGCATTTATTCTAAAGATCGATTCTCCTTGAAATACATAAACAGATTTGGAAAATAATATCCTTATGGAATAGGTAAAAGCAAGATTCCCGCAAAAACAATTGTCAGCTATGCTTTCGATGTCTTTTGCATATACTCACACTTAAAATATGAATCCATTACCAAATGTGTAAGCTGAACGGCTTCGTATTCTCTGTGCGCTCGAACTGATCTATACAATTCGAGACCTATAATTAGGTTACGACATTGAGGCAGTCTGCTTAATTACTAGTTGATTTTCACAGCAGATATAGAGCGGAACTGTGGACTATAATAGGCCAAAGTTCCACCAGTTCTTCATTTCACTTCTTAAGCTCTGATTTGATTAGATCGGTGCTCGAAGAAGTAATGCAACATCAAGCAAACATTACATTTGAAATCAGAAACAAGGGATTTTTTTTTTAATTTTTCGATAAAAGTACAGAAGTTTACTTTTGTAGCAAATTATTCTGCTTCCATATAGCACTGAATTTTTTCTGTTTTATAAATCAGCACCATTTACTCTGTTATGACAGCGATAGTAACATCAACAGCGCCAGATACAGACCTAATGGTTTCTTTTACAGACTCATAAAGTGGCTTCATCACTGTCTAAACAGAAACTGCTCTTGGCAAAGCAAAATAGCCCTATTTCAGCCGAGGTGTTAGGTATTTAAACCAATTAATGGGATTTATATTAACAGGAATCGTTATAGTTAAATCTAGGATATATCTTTATGGATTTTTATGAGTTAGCAGATACTCAGGAGAGGTAAGTTAGTGTTTTGTTCCGAATCATTAACTATTGAGATGGTTGCTCCACAGTCAATTAATTATGTTATCAGGATATCATTTCAGCTTCTTGAACACCCTCAGTCGGCCTTTGGCATTGAATTAAGATGTATGTCGACAGATGACTTCTAATGAAGTTCAGTCGCTTTTGTTCGTTCATCGAATTCGAACCCAAAGGGTCGAAATTATAATAGTATATGCGGACGATAGTTGGCGAGGGACGCCGTATTTCATCTAACTGGAAAAACAAATCCAAAAGGCGGAAAAGGATTAGAGTCTGGGCCAGCGGAAAATGCTCAATTTTTTTCTTTCTGTAACAACTTTGAAAATGAAAATTGCGGCATAATTTAGGGATAAATGCCGTTATCTTCTATGCTAGATAAATCTGATCTATAAAGAAAAACAATGTGTGCACAGTAAATTAGACAACATTCAGGATTATTATCGTACTTCAATTTGTGACTAATTGTTTTACCTATTTAAAAAATATAGGATTTGAAAGTTAAAGATGCCATGTATATGTAATGCTATTTGTTGGCCAAGCACTGCATAGTTGATTTGCTAAATGGTAGCATTAATTTTTACTAAATAAACATATACCTATGTGTGGGCGTTCGACTTCAACGCCTCCGTAATAGAAAACAAGAGTTCCGTTTCTATTACTCGTATTAGCAGAGGCTAGGGGGTTTAGTTTTTACTAGAAACGAACGAAAAGCGAATTTAGCCAAACTTTCTCCCAGGTACTATTTACAAACCATAACGTTTTATTAGGGCAAATTGCATCATTGCAAGTGCTGCTGCGTTGATTGTTTAACAGTTGGGTAGTTCACAGACACGAAGGCAAACAAACAAAATGCATTTGGCCCACGCTATACAGTGGTTAAAAGATCTAATATAGATAAGTCAATGTATAACTTCTATCTTGCCCCAAGAAGTACAAATTTCAGCGTTGTGCGCCATGCTTTCCACTTTTGCCCCGTGAGAGCCATTTGGTTGCGCGTACCCTTGCTTGCTCGAATGTCGTGCCGGGGAAGTCAATTTTCGGGCCTGTGCTTGGCCAGTTTGCCAAAGAGTGGGCAATACAGCATCCTGTTACACGATGTGCCTCAAAAAAACTAACTAATACCGCTGCCATATGCTTACCGCGTAACGATAGCACCGAGATATGGCAACATACGGCACAC